AAGGGAGAGGTCTGGAGGATTTAGTAGTCGTGAATGTCCTTTCATTCGTGGATGTGAATTGCTGACCTATAAGGATGCAAGTTGACATTTAGTTTTTCAGATATTATACCGTAATATATGTTTATTTTTTAGGTTCATCATTGTTTTGGTGCTTTGGGTAGTTCAATGGTAGGACTTTAGAGTTGCTAATGACAAATTAGCAAGTCTGCCAACACACTTAAACTAATGCATCTGGTTTATCCAGTGTAATTATGATGTACCAGCCTTATATCACAAGGAAACGTAAGTATTTTGCGTTTTGTCAGTCATTTATTCATTTTCTTCTTGGCTTAGTCCCTTTATTAATGCATGTTTCACAAAGCGGATGCCCTTCCAGCTGTAACCCAACACTGGGAAACACCTATAATCTTTTGCATTCATTCACACACATTATGAATCAATGTGTACACACATACACTACGGCCAATTTAGCATATGTTTTACACAGTGGATGCCCTTCCACTTTCAACCCACTACTGGGAACCACCCATACACTCTCATTCAAACAAATACACTACGGCCAGTTTAGCTTACCCAATTCTCTTGTACCACATGTCTTTGGACTGTGGGGGAAACCGGAGCACTCGGAGGAAACCCACACCAACACAGGGAGAACTTGCAAACTCCACACAGAAATGCCAACTGACCCAGCCGGGGCTCAAACCAGAGAACTTCTTGTTGTGAGGCGATCGTGCTACCCACTCATCTGCTACATCATTGAGAGCCATGGGTCAAAAATAAATATATCAAACTATATTACATTAGTTGCCATGCGTAATTTTCTAATTCAATTCATTCATTCATTCATTCATTCATTCATTCATTCATTCATTTTCTTTTCGGCTTAGTCCCTTTAATAATTAGGGGTTGCCACAGTGGAATGAACCACCAACTACTCCAGCATATGTTTTACACTGCAGCTGGGACTTGAACCAGCGACCTTCTTGCTGTAAGGCGATAGTGGTAGTCACTGAGCCACCGTGCTGCCAACAGTAATTATTAAAAACAATTAAATTGCTTAATAATCATGCAGAAATCAAGTTTTATAAATAATTATTTATATCCATGCTTCATGCATTTTTAAAAAAGCTTAGTTTAATTTAGTTTATCAAATGATGTGTGTAAAAAAGAGCTGAAATATACCAATCAAGTCATTTATTATCTGTTTTCTTTTTCTTATTTGTACCAATATTATGGCCCTTTGAGCAATGAATTTCATTGAGTCATGCTGGGGTTGTAACCTTTGACATTTGTCAACCTGAACTTCCCCATAAATGTCATAAAAGGTCAAACATATTATTTTTAAGAGACTTTCTGACCTTGCCGCGCAGTTATGAGGGGCTACAGGGATCTGCTACACTGGAAAAAAGATTCATTGGTTTTACTCAATTCTTTGAAGGTAAGCGGTTGCAAACAATTTATACGGGTTGAATTTAAACACACAAATGAAATATACACTGTAAAACCCATTAAGTTATGGTAACTCAACCATTTGAGAAAACTAATTGCAACAAACTATTTAAGTTTAAAAACTAATCCTAATTAGTACTGTGAACTGAATCCATTTGAGTAAGTAAAGCAGTTTGAGCACAGTAAAACTCTGTAAAACCAACTGTGTACTGTAAAACCCAATAGGTTAACTGTGCGTTCATACCGAAAGAGGTGAGAGCGTCTAAGGTTGCTCTGGCTGCCCTGGCGACAACACTGTCTGCCTTCAGCTCCGGCGGCGAGAGCGTCAAAATCGCTACATTGTACTCATATTTAAAGGGGCCATTGCAGCAAATCAGTTACATTTCTGCATAAAACATGCTTTCTAGCCTGAAAATGTTGCGCAATTCTTATCAAAATCATATAACAATGCAAGATCAAGTTGCGTGTGGTGTGGCTTTGCTCCACTTAATTATCCAATGTGTCCATATGTCTGAAATATCCTGAAGCTGCAATACTGTTTTGTACTGTTGCTGCTTTTTTAAAGATAAATATATATAACATTAATGCACATCAGTAACTCGCCAGTAACTTATTAAATGCATGTTTCTGTAAGAAAACACAGTAAATAATTGAAAATCTGGCAATCTCAATTATCAAACACTTGAAAACAACTGTGATCGCAACCGAAGATCACAGGTCTGTGTTCTCTGAACTTCTCTCAAGCGGTGGACTTCTTCATTCTGATTGGTTGCCACCGAACCGCGTCATAGCTCATTACGATGAAGTTGACTTGATTTCAACTCTCCGAAGACACGCCACGCTGCTCCTCGCCGCTTATTGCTGCCAGCTTTCATTGAAAATGAAGGACTTCCGGCTACTTTGACGCTCTCGCTGCTTTCGGTGTGAACGTACGGGAAGGCAACTCAAACCTTTTGAGGAAACCGATCGCTCCAAAATATTTGAGTTAATCTATATGAGTATTGTGGACTTACTCCATTGATGCGGTATTTAGTTAACTCAATGCCTTCAACTAAGTTCAGAACTCTTTTTAAATTAGTAGAACTAGCTTTCAGTAAATGTTGCATTAACTACCCTTATTTCATTTGATAAAGTTGACTGTTGGGCTTTGTAGTAATGTTCAACTTCATTTTCTTTGTTTAAAATTAGCCCATATAAATTGTTTGCAACCCCTTACCTTAAAAAAATGAGTAAATCCAGTGAATCCTTTTTAGTGTGTGTTTTTGTTCACTTTTTAAAATTTCACATGAAGAAACTCCTTCCTGCATGTTTTATTGTGTAATTTCTTTTTGTCTAAAAATCGTAAAATCAATTCTAATCTGATACAGCATCAGATGACCATC